TAATTTAGGATGTATGTAAGATTTAGGACATTGAAACTTGCACAGTACTGCGTAGGAAATATGATGTCGCCTGTGTATGCATTTCACCACAATACCATGCTAGCCTTACACAGCTCATATAGCACAAGGAAAGCTATATTTTTTATATATATTTGTCCCTGTGCTAACGACATTTTGTCAGTGGAATAGGTTTGAAGGTTTTAAAACGTTTCCCTAAGTTTTTACCAGAGTAATTCGAGTTTTCGTGCGCTGTGAATTGTGGGTAAATGTACCAGTCGCCATCTTTTTTCCTACGGAGGATTTGTTTTCGTCTCTTGCGACTCTAGTCTTGCACGCGCACGTGTTCTAAACCGTGCAAACCAGACTGGTAGTACGGAGTAATACGCGCAAAATATAACCGCGTTGACTTTTCCTAATCTGGTAAAATGGCGTGGCAGAACTTCTGCTCATGCCCAATAATAAAGAAAATTTATCATACTTTTTGTTTCGTTGGATCCTATAAGCACCTTTAACATGACATGACACAAGCGTGACGCAGGTCTAACAACATGGCGTGACTCTTGCGTTACCGAGTACCTACAGTTTGATTCAGTATTTCTTACCTTGTGGGTAGTTTGTCCTAGTTCCCTGTAGTACTGGAAGTTTATTCCATCATTACTGTACTGCAGTTTGTACTTGGTTACCCACTGCTTGAGGACAAAATTCCCTCCTTGTGTTGCTACTCGTGTTATTGTACTATTGCCGTGATTGCCCAGATCGACCTGGAGCCACTGATTGGCACCTAGTGTAGCGGATGACCAGACTCCGCGGTCCCTCCCGGGTGTTTCTACACGGTGGAGTCTGCCGTAGATGGCGGCTTGAGTGGAACCAGATTCCGAAGAAGCCTTGATTTGCGAGTCGGAAATTTCACCACTTTCCATTCCAAGCGCTCTTTGACATTCTAAAGGTTTTAATGAATCCACCGATCAATTAAGTAGCTGCCATGAACACTTCCCGGCAACATGGCGTCAACAACTATTTATTATCCACGTGACAAAGACATGGATTTTCGCGCGGATAGAACTCGCGTTTCGCAAACAAAATGGCGGGAAATGTAAAGCGCGCAAAATCAATAGAGTGTTTTTACATGACGTCACGACATATTGGTGTCTCAACATAATGAAATGGCGGCCATGACGACGTCTTAAACCCATCCTGTGGGAGTTGAATTATTTTATTATTTAAACACTTTCTTTTGTTCCAGCTGCAGGGCATGTTAGTGAAAACGTTGTACATGTGTTGTCGACGTACTTGTAAAACAAAATGTAAATCTTATTTATAGTGGTCATGCACTAAGCTATACAAGCACTAAGCTTAGCTAGTTTACAAGCATACAACTGAAACAAAGGAGACAAATATTGCAAATAAACGTAACATGGTTAAAAATCCCCACTGGCAGAAGATAGACCAGTTGGCTATTCACACAGCGTGACCGGGGTTTTGAACTCGGGACTACCGAGAAACAAATCCCGCTAGTTGCAGGGTGGAGGCCTTGAACCCGGGACCCCCGGATTACAACACCAGCGCCCTAAACCACTTGGTTTACATTTTTTTTACGTCAAAGTGAGAATGGAGCATTAAGCTATCCCTCTGAAACTGATGGCAATAATATCTCTTTTCTTGAAAACGAGTCCTCTAGTTTCCATGGTCCAAAAGTCTGTACAGATTACTTAAATGTTAGTTGTTGTTGTTGTTGTTTTTTTGCTGAAAACCTGGCTTAGCATCATAGTGTTAATGCAAGCCTAAGAAAGAGATATGGCCAGGATTATCACTTACCAGGCCCGTAAATTTCCACCCGCAAGCAGCATTGTTCTGACTTGCAGCGATCGATATGAAACCTCAATGTCTGAGTCTTGAATGGACGCAAGATAGCGTTCTTTACTACAGTTGATGCGTCCCAGTTTCCTTCAAAAATCTGGAAATTAGAAAAAAAAACCTTTGTTTGGCTTATGAACACATTTTTGCTTAGATTGTCATTGCTTAAAAGTATTTCGTAACAAGCTGTTGATTGCATTCAATAAAAGAATCGTAAGCGCTCACACGCATTTTGTGCGGTACTTGATCCAAGTGAGTGCTTACGTAACTGACAAATGCAAGAGGACTAAATTAACTATTTCCTTTACAAAATCTTCATAAAATTGTTCCCTTGAACTCATAACGTAAGCACATAAAAAATCACGCGCTCGAAGTAATGGAGTGCTTTATAGACATACTAAGGCTCCGCCCACACCATGCCGGAGAAATTTGAAAACGCTGCTTTATTTCTACGGTTAACCCTACCGTCCACACTAATCCGTCACGAAAACAGAGCTTTACGAAAACGCTCTTCAAACCGGAGGAATTTGAAAACGCCAGCTTTTCTCTTTTGCGTGGACGGAAAACATTCTGAAAACGGAGCTTGCGGAAAAAGGTGGCGTCCCGATAATCATGGCACTTCGCTGATCGAGTTTTCCTCAAGCACAAATCAAAACTGCCGGGTAATTATTACGTTTTTAAATTCCTTCAGCGTAGTGTGGACGGGGCGTTAAAGAACTCGAAATACTTTTAAAAAACTAGTTTTATTTATAATTCAATTTAAAATATTAAGCTACTTCGAAACTTTAATATGTTTGGATCACAAAATTATCTACCTTCAACTTTCCATTCTCTGTGTACCTCTTCCATTGTCCATCGTCAACATCAACAAAACTAAGATAATACGACAAAACAAAANAGATCCAAGTGAGTGCTCACGTAACTGACAAATGCAAGAGAACTAAATTAACTATTTCCTTTACAAAATCTTCATAAAATTGTTCTCTTGAACTCATAACGTAAGCATATAAAAAATCACTTGCTCGAAGTAATGGAGTGCTTTATAGACATAATAAGGCCCCGCCCACACCATGCCGGAGAAAATTGAAAACGCTGCTTTATTTCTGCGGTCAACCCTACCGTCCACACTAATCCGTCACGAAAACAGAGCTTTACGAAAACATTCTGAAAACGGAGCTTGCGGAAACAGTTGGCGTCACGATAATCATGGCATTTCGCTGATCGAGTTTTTCTCAAGCACAAGTCAAAACTGCCGGGTAATTGTTACGTTTTTAAATTCCTTCAGCGTAGCGTGTACGGGGCGTTAAAGAACTCGAAATACTTTTAAAAAACTAGTTTTATTTATAGTTCAATTTAAAATATTAAGCTACTTCTAAACTTTAATATGTTTGGATCACAAAATTATCTACCTTCAACTTTCCATTCTCCGTGTACCTCTTCCATTCTCCATCGTCAATATCAACAAAACTAAGATAATACGACAAAACAAAAAACTTGTTTTGATTGTTCTCAGCGCCTTGTGTGGCAACAAACAAAATGTACTGCGGAGTACCCAGGTTCACCCGCAACCAGGGATCAGGATCTTCAGAACGAGGCTTGGAACACCACGCAGACAGGCACAGTCCAGGAAGACTGAGGCGAGCAAAGTGAGGAGGTGACATGCATCTTTCTGACGACGCCGTCATTTCCGGGAAGGTCTCTTAGGAATTAATTCGTTGGAATAAAAGTTTAGTAATTTCATTTGTCACTTAGGGACGAGAGAAAACCTGAGACCAGTCTCATCTCGTAGTGGCTAGTGGGACCGTTATCGGGGAAAAACAAAAGACAGGAAGCCATATTGTCCTTGGTTGCAATCCCACAAGCCACTGTGAGATGGGACTCGCCTCATATTTTTTACTGTTGTCTAAAGAGCCAAACACAATAAAGAAATTTTCTCAGTCATATAAAACATGTACGCCAACTGACTATGTCCCTTTAACCACGGACACATGGCTACACTTAACCCCAGGGAATGCCAATCAAAGCCAGTGGGAGATCTAGACGAGCTCAAAACTCGTAGAGCGGAGGGGTGACTTTCTGTTGCCTTTTTACATCTATGTGCTTGTTCGGTTATGTTGTTGCTTCACCAGGCAAATGATTTCTCTTTGCCTGCGCGATCATTACATCGACAGCTGGCGCACGGATTTTAACACATACGCTCTTGCAGGGTACGTGTTTCTTAAATCTAATTCTATTAACAATTAATGATCAATAATCATCAAATCAAGGAGAGACAAGAGTAGACGCGCTGAGCGTGAGATCTCTAACAAAAGAAGACACTGCCCTTCAGACAACGAGATCGGAAAAAGATACATAAGTTTTAAAATATACCTTGGCCATTGAAAATTATCTTTATTTTCATACAGATGTCAGAGTTCCATGTCTGAGGAAGAAATCTCAAATAGGAAGGACTTGTATGGAAATTGTAGCTTCTATCAATCATGTAGACCTAAGAAAAACGGCATAAAGTAATAGTTTATAATTTAATAATTACATTATGAGCTCGAAATTTCTTTTGCGTGATAGTTGACAAGGGCACACCCCGAGCCAGCTATCACTCAAAGAAATCACGAGCTACAAGTAGCTCATAATCTATTTTTAAGTGCAAATGTACTACCGTAAGCTTCTGAAAGTAGCTACCCCCCCCCTCGAAAGTAACGTCAAAAACTTGTGGCCACTGATAAATCCGGAAGTAGCGACCCCCCCGAAAGTAGCCAGCCCGCCCCCACCTCCCCGAAAATAGTGAGACCCAGGTTCAACAATATATTGATTTTTCCAATCAATAGTCAGGTGAAAGTTACGTATGCGTGGTAACTTGATTTAAGGAACTCTACAAGAAAGGGAGGAATCGCTTCTACACTTATGCCACGAAGCGTTGAGAAATGTCAATTCGTGCCACATCAGTTAGTGTTGTCCCGTGCTAAAATAAAACGCGTAGAATTTTTATCAAGTAACAGGAACGTAGTTTAGGAAACTTTGATCCAAATTAATATCATTTTCAACAGGAGCATATTAAAAGAAACGTTTCTTCAAATTTAAATTGAAAGCTCGATCATCGCACTGAGACATTACTACAGCAGACCAACGTAGCTGTGCGTCATGAAGTAAATACAGTTCATCTTGGTATCCAACTAGCTTTCCTGCCGACCACTGACAACACGGTCTAGACATGAAGAGCGCAGCCCGAGTCAACTATCACGCAATAGAAATCGAGAGCGAATAATCTAATTGTTTAGTAGAACGGCATTCGTGATAGAAGGCTATAGCTAGTAGATTTATACTAAATCGTATCATTATGTCGCATCATATCATGTATCCTATCGTACTATCTTACCCTAACCATGTTCGAGATGTAAATTTTAAAAGGTATCGGGGTTTACTTTAGAGCAGCTATCAACTGAGAGTTGTGAAGCCAAATCAAACCAATTAGACTACTCAACCAATCTCAAACTGTAGTACGTAAAACCAAAACCAAAACTAAAGCAATTGCCTGTGAAATTAACTTGGTTTTATAATTATTTTAAGGTTTGCCCACTAGAAAAGGGTTAATGGTCTCGCTATAACATCGCTGATAGTATAGTTAGTAGTTTACTTTGATCTGAGAGGAACGTAGATACTTACTCCTTCGAACTGTCCTAGGGGGGTCTCTAAGGCAGTCCAGTCTTTCCCGTCTCTGCTTTTATTAAGCAGATATGATATTACCAATGATGCCTCGCCGTCTGGTTTTATGGTCTTCACCACCATCACCATCCCATTTGACGAGTCATTGGGACCAATGTTCGCTTGAAGCCACTGTTGTTGGTCGCTGTAATGCGCATGCGCACACCATTTGCCTGCAGTGTTCATTAACGACTTGTTTGCACTGTACTCCTGAGAAACTCTCTCGGACGAGGAATCAAACGCTGAATCGGGAACAATGGCAGGGTCGGCAACTCCAAGGGCCTGGTGTGGTGCTTAAAATTGAGAAAAAGATCGATCAATACTAGTTTTACTTTTACCGTAGTCCGTAGTGTCCAGTTCTTTCCCGCCATGGTCGGTAGGGTCGATCCCAGTTCCCATCAGTGTTCCCTGCCGAAAAGTTGCGTGTCATCCCCGGGTACTCGATGATGATGCCATTAGAAATAAAATTAATAGACTGGGAGTAACCC